GCCCCCTCCCCCCCCCCCCGGCGGCACGGCGCGCCCGCTGCCCCCGCTACGCCCACCCCCCCCCCCCGCCGCAGGGATTTCTGGGAAATGTAGTCTTGGGGGTTGCGGGTGGCGTGTACGGCTGCGCCGCGCGCATGCGCGGTGCGAGGGTTCTGGCGGCCGCGTGTAGTGGGTGGAGGCCGCGCCGCGGGTGAGTACCGGGCCGGTGCCGGCGCTCGCTCCGCCTGCGGCCGCACCGCTCGCCAGCCCCTCCGCGCCTCTCCCTCGCTACGGAGAGGCTCGGCAGCCCCCGCCGGCCGTCTTCAGGCCTCTCCCCACAGCCCGCGGGCCCTGCCGGAGATGTCTGGGGCGAGGGAGAAGAAGCGGGCCAAGAAGATGAGGAACCAGCCGGCTAGCGTGACCCTTCCCGCAGAGCCGGGGCCCTTCCCTGGCGGCGGGAGCAGAGGCTGCCCGCCCTCAGGTACGGCTGGGGGACCCCCTGCCCAGGGCCGGGGTGGGTGACCGCGGAGGGAGTGCCCCCCCGGCCTCAGGGCTGGGTGTCCCGCTCCCCCCCCCCACCCCGGCCTCAGGGCTGGGTGTCCCCCCCTCCTCAGCCCCGGCGGCCGGCGAGGCGTGCCCGGTGTGGGAGCGCCCCAGGGCTTGGTCCCCTGCTGTCGACTCCTTTAGCTCTGGTTCTGCCATAAATCTCGTCAGTACGTGCATCTCTGCGTTATCCCATCGGTTACACGACGAATCCCTCTCCGGGCTCTGCGATTTCTCGTCTTAAACTTAATTTGGATGTTACACCCCACCCAGTGTCCTCCCTTCTCTTTTCTGTCAGACCTAGGAGCTGCAGGAGGAGCTGGTTTAGCCTGCTGTCCCTATGATAAATGCACTGTTTTTTCCATCAGATCAGCATGCCCAACCTATTTGCCTTTGTGGTTCCTGTATCTATGGAATAGTCTTGGCAGGAGGCAGCAAGGCGTTTCCCTAAAATGGCAGTGTTGCTAGGTCATTGCTGGAGCATTTTGTGCACAGGTAACCTTTGCAGCTGAAGACTGAAGGATCCTGTCAACCTGTATGCCAGATGCTTTTTTAGTCTGCGTGTTTTGACTTGGGTCCTGTATGCTTCAATCGGACTTTGATTTCCACACCCACACCCCCCATTTCATGTTTTTATTTTGTTACCTATATTATTTCTGGAGAAAAAGCACACATAAGAGCAGGGCTTGTTACTGTGAGGCCTTCAGAAGTTGACAAATTGCATCTTTGTGGTTGAACAAAAAAACGCTTAAGTGTCACTGTCTGTGTAGGTGACTGAAGAGTTCCTAAGCAGACAGAATGACATAGCAAATTGTGGTCAGCCCTGTCTGAAGATTTTGGAATATCATTACAGGAGCATTGCCAGATTAAACACATTTTTCTAACTTTATGTGTAGCAGGGAACTTCTAAGATTACGTGGTAATGTTCTTCTGTCCTGTTGAATAGCATGCATTTTCATCCCTATAATGTTCTTCTGTAGTGTGAGTATCTCAGTTTTACAGGGCTGTTTTGTAGAAACAGGAGAGACAACAATCTAAATAGTAGTTATAAAACTATGGATCTAGGTAGTACCTGAAATAACTTATTTTTTCTGTAGGTATTAAGTCAGTCACTGTCTTTTGAAACACTCTTCCATCTTCTGATTAAAATATTTAGTTTTTCCATTCTTAGGCAAATGTGGTAGTGAAAGGGTGTGTTTGTGATATGAGTTAATTGCTGTCAGGTTACCCTCCCACGATTGACTTGGGCTGTAGGTCTACACAGATTTTCTGACTGAGGCAGCATCTACCCCTCTCTCCCAGCTATTTCTTTCTCGCATTCACCCACCTCACTGTCTGGACAGTGCTGCTCTCAGTCATGTGGAGAACCCAGATCAGGGAGTTATTCCACAGAAAAACTAAGTTCTGTTTCCACCTCAGATTATTCTTTCATTTGAATTACTGAAGTTCTGTGTGATGTGTGGTTGCATCGGGGCTGCAACAGCATTGCTGCTGAACATAAAACTTCAGCTTCGTGCTGATTTGAAATGGAAAAAGGAGGTTCTTTGCCATTTTAAGTTCACATAAATTGATGATACTGGAGGTGAATCTGCTCCTGGCTGTTCCTCATGCCAATGGTAGCATTTTTGGGACAACAGGATAGGCTTGTTTAAGAAGCTGATCAACCTGAAAACTGATTTTTTTAATCTCTTACCCCATTTCTCCTGACAGACAGGTTGATTTTTCACTACAGAAGCACCCTGAGCTGTATGGCCCATGTTCCCTCAAGCATTCATCTTGATGCAGTGGGTGGGGTGGTGGGAATGGCTGGCTGGGCCCTTCTTAGTCCAGTTGTCCAGCATGAGCTGCCTGAGAACCATATCTCAAGTAGTGCTAGAAATCTAACCAAGACTTAACTGAATAGGTTAAATAGAAACTAATCTTTAAATATGGACTTCAGGGCCCTCTTAAACTTGAAGTACTGTTAGGTGCTTATCACTCTTGAAAGGTATTTCAGTACCTTAGGAAGCTTACTGTAGACTTTAGTTATTTAATTTCAATGTTGATTTAAATGCCTGTACCAGAAGAGTAACTTACTGCACCAACATATATGTATCACGCTTACCTTATTTATTGCTGTAACAGAAATACATGTGAGACAAGAATACATTTGCTTATGGGAAAAAAAATAAAGGGGCAAGAGGGAAAAATATTAACTTTGCCAGTTTAGTACTAAAACCCTGAACAGACAATAGTAAAAATCACTACTGATGTTGCATAGACCAATTTTAGTCAGGTTTTTCCTATTGGGTCTGATAGAGTATTGAAGTTAAAGTCTGGATTGGGTAGCATTTTCAGAATGTGCAAAAGTTACTTAATCTACTGAAGGCTTGCTGCAGGACAGTGCAAAAATTTTATTTCTTCCTATAAAAAAGAATTTAACTCTTCTGATTTCTGATGGCTTTTTCAGGTGCATATATTAAATATAAAAGGAGGAATGTGCTATGCAATCTTATGAGGAAAGACTGTGCATAGTTATCACTTACTCAAACTACTTTGCATTTCTGTTACCTCTTTTCATCTCTAAACCCTCCAGGAGATGTTCGTTCTGAGCAGCAGTATCATCAGCAGAAATTTTCGAATCAGTCATCTGGGCCTTCTTACAGGAAAGACCAATATTTTCCAAAAGGGCAAAATAGAGGAGAGAGAGGCCGAGGAAGGGGAGGATGGCAAGGAGGATGCCAGAGTGTTTCTGAGGAAATGCCAAAATACATAACAGGTTTGTATATAAGAAAAAGGTCATAATTTATGTGTCCAGGGTAACTTGCTGGTGATTGAGTTTGCTGTCTGTTTTTGTGCAAGAGCAAAAATTAGAACTGATGCTATGTTCTTCTGTTTTTCCTAATTTTCTCCAAAATACAGAAGTAGTTGTGTGCTGGAATAAATGATCAGTTTTGTTCAATGAGTCATTTCAGACTTCTGAGTTAAAAAGTTGCACTTACTTGTAATAAGGGATATGCATTTTGGTTTTTGTTTGCCAGCAAAATGTGTGCTGAGAGTCATATGCTTTTAATGTAGCCAGTGAAACTGGTTTTGCCCATGATGTGAGTTAAAGACAACTTTTAATCTAACAACATTTTTTTAGGAGAGCGGATTAGCTTTTCAAAATGTGGCAGTGCTCTGATAGTAGATACACTTCCATAAGCATAAAACAAGACCAATATATTTGATCATTTTAAAACAGTCTGTAATATGATTACTGCTTCCTTTTTTTCCATGCTGAAGTTTTTTTCATCTCTCTGAATATCATCTGAAAAGATTGCTACTCTAATTTAATAAAGAAGTACTTAAAGCAAATAGGACTTGTTGGTTATACCATGGCTTTCAGAATAATTTGTGTATAAGTATTTGCTTAACCATATCTGTAAGCTTCAGAATGTCTAAAGAATTGAAATTTCTTCTGTAATAGTGTACAGTATTTTTATCTCAGGGAGTCATTAGATGGATGTACTAGGAATACTCTGCTGGAATTCAGTAATTTACGTAGTGTCCCCTTCTTTGATCTTTGCCTCTTGTCACTCTCTGATGCAGTTCTTTTCATTCCAGTGTCTACCTTTGCTCAAGCTCGTGCTGCTGAGATCAATGCCATGTTGAAAGCAGTTGTGCAGAAGTCTTCAAACTCTCTAGTTTTCCAGACTCTACCTAGGCATATGCGAAGGCGAGCTATGAGTCACAATATTAAACGCCTACCCAGGCGGCTCCAAGAGGTTGCCAGGAAAGAGGTATAAGTGTGTTTTATAGTATTTGATAAATTATGTAGTGGGCATAGCTATTGCACGTTGTTCAGCTGTACATTTATTAATATTCAGACCTGAGCTTATCTGCAAAACTTCCCTGCGTACACAGGTTCTCAAACTTTGACTGACATTTGGATTCAAAAAGCAGGAACACCTCAGTTTTAGATGGCAGCTCAAGTAGATCTCACTAACCACTTGGCTTTGTGATTACTTGACATCTTGAGAAGTTATTAGAGTAGTGATGATGAAAGGGTCCACTGCAGGAGGGGTGGTTCAGGCAGTGCATTGATCCCAGGTGATCCAGGAGTCCTCAGTAACACTTGTCTGCCTTGCACCCCACCACAGCTGTGGGCTGTGACCCTGCCAGCCTCAAGCCAGCACAGCCCATTCATGACTGGTGCAATGGTTCATGTGTTATAGCTCAAATGTGGGAGGTACGCTGGAGTTGTTGGCAGGCTGTGTGCAGCTTAAGACTTACTAATTGACTGTTCCTGGTTGCTCATGAAACTCCCTCATTTTGTGGCAGTATCTCAGTCAGAACACTCCTGTGGAGTTACTGGCTCCTTGCCCACCGTGCTTTCCTGTTTTTGAAAAAAAAAATTAAAAAATTGATTCAGCAGGATATCTGATGTTTAGCATTGATCACTTTATCGTC